AGCCCATTTAACAAGGAATCTGCTAGACTCATAGGAAGGAAACCTGTACATGTTCTTCAGATACAAAGAAAACTTGAACAAATGGAAAGGCATACTGTGTTCTTAATAATACAATTTGCTAATATAAAGAAAAAAATGTCAGTTCTCCCTAAGTTGATCTATAAATTTATCATAATTAGAATAATAGGATCAGACCCAAATGCTTACAAAAATTTACTACATGATAATATTATCTTCCTAAATAAAGAACTATTCAACAAATAGTATTGCACAACCAGTTAACATCCAGGAGGAAAGTACTAGAAGAAGTCAAGGGAGAATTCTTTTATAACCTAAGAGTAGGAAAGCTTCTATCTATGGCTTAAAACTCATAAGACATAAAAAATTCATTAATTTGACTACATAAAAAAGGAATCATTTCTGCCATACAGAAACACTGGAAGCAAAGTTAATAGGAAAATACTCATAATTCATATAAGAAAATAAATTGATTTCTCTAATTTGTGAAAGATCTTGCAAATCGACTTTGAAATGAACAAAATCTCAGTGTAAAAATGAGGTAGGGCCAGGCATGGTGGTGCATGCCTGTAATCCCAACAGCTCCAGAGGCTAAAGCAGGAGGGTTGCAAGTTCAAAGCCAGCCTCAGAAAAAGTGAGGCATTAAGCAACTCAGTGAGACCTTGTCTCTAAATAAGATACGAAATAGGGCTGGGAATGTGGCCCAGTGGATCCAGAGGCCCTGAGTTCAATCCCTAGTAGTCCCTGCCAAAAAATGGGGTAGGAATCTGAATAAATGTTTCACAGAAAAAAATAAAATGTTTCTTAAACATAAAAGAGGCTGGATCTCCTTGTGATAGAGGACGTGGCATCTAAGTCTCCACTGTCTTCACCTAGCAGATGGTCAGCCTCTAAAGGTTGGATAATGCTGTTTTGGGCCAGGGTCTGGGGAGACGAGCAATTTCATAGATTGTTGAGGCAATGCCCCAGGGAAGGCATCCTTGGCCCTGACAAATGTCATGGCCCTTCACTCTGTTGCCAAAGCCACTCTCCCTCCACAGTTCCCAGGGTGGTTCAGATCTTAATCTTTGGGCTTCCCTAAGCTCAGTGAGTTTCCCATGAAGCCCTTGTCTTCTGACTTAAGAGAGGTGCCCATGAGTCTCTTCCCCTTGGGGACAGGGATGGGGACACATGACCATTCTCCAGAAAAGAAAAGCCTTCAGAATTGCTGTTCTAATGATATTCTGCACTTGTCAGCACCTGAACAGTAGTGAATTTCACTGTATACCAATAAAAAATAAAATCAGCCAAGGTGTCAGGAGCTCTCAGGATAGAACATAGACAAGAATTTAACTCTATTACAAATATTTCACAGCCTCACTGAAGGAGGTGGAGAAGTTGTCCTAAGTGACTTTGGAAAACAGCTTTGTGACTGTATGCTATAAGCTAGAGACAAAAAGAGCCATACGTAAACACTGCTTGAGTGAGTGAATTTATCACAGCAGTACCAACTAGCAATTCTTTTTTAAAAAAAAAACTTTTAAAAATGATTTATTTATGGACTTATTTATTTGTTAGTGGGGATTGAACCCAGGTGTGGTCTACTTCAGAGTTAATCACCAATTCTCTTTTAACTTTGTATTTTGCTGGGCTCAGTAGCCCACACCTGTAATCCCAGTGACTTGGGAGGCTGAGGCAGGAGGATTGAAAGATTGAGAGAAGCTTAGCAAGGTTCTCAGCAACTTAGAACCTGTGTCAAAAAAAAAAAAAAAGCCATGGGGTGGGGGACTGGGAATGTAACTAAATGGTAAAGCATCCCTGGGTACAATACCCACTAACAAAAAGTAAAATACAATAAAATTTTGTTTTGAGATAATTTCTAAAGCTGGTCTTGAACTTTCGATACTCCTGCTTTAGTCTTCCAAGTAGCAGGGATTAGAGGCATGGGCCAACATGCCTAACCTGACTAGCAATTCTGAATGTGCCATATGGGGGTTGATTATAAGGGGACTTAGAATAGAGATACCTGAGTAACAATGAGCAGGTCCAATACTCAAATTTTTGTTTCTAATTGCTATTTTCTAAAGGATCTGTGGAGAAATGAAGGATTCTACAGCTTGGATGAGGAAAATACCAGCTAAACCTGGGTCATTTTGTAGAGCCAGAAAGTAAAGAAGTACTCAAGGAAAAAAATATAAAAAGGACCAGGCATATCAGAAGGACACAGGGGACAACCTTAAATACCTGCTAGTGACTAATTAATGATCATATTAGATTTTAACAAAAGCAATAGAATAAATACCCATGAGCCTACACTGATGAAAATGAATAATTAAATAAGTAAATAAATGGAGAAAAGAGGCTAAATCTTTACAGAAGAATCCCCATAAGATAAATACTTCTCCCTTTAGGAGATGGAGCTTAATTTCCCTCCTCTTAAGAGTGGGCAAGTCTTAGCAACTTACTTCCAAAGAATAGAGTATGGAAAGAGAAAAATGTCAACTCCACAGTGGAGAGAAATGGCCATCCCACCTTAATCAAGCCACCAAGTTCAATAGGGATGGTAATCATGTTCCCTAACCATGCCCTTCTCTGATCTTTTCCAAAAAACGCATAACTGTGGTCTAATTGCATGAGAAGACATGACAGAATTCCTACAAATGGAAGGACATCTTACAAAATACCTGACCATAAATCTTCAGAAATGTCAAGGTCATGAGAAACAAGGACAGACCAAGAGATTATCACAGACCAAAGAAGAGATATAACAATTAAATGCACTGTAGGATCCTGTTTGGACCCCAGAACAGAAAAAAGACATTAGTAGAACATGATGAAGTCCAAATAAAGGTTGTGGTTTAGTTAATAGCATAGTGTCAATGTTAAGTCTTCATCCTCTCAAAAGCACTGTTTTGTGTAAGATACTAACATTAGGGAGAAGCCCGTGAGGGGCACACGGGGACTCTCTTTCCATCTTTATACTTTTTCTGTAACTCTAAAATTATTTCAGTATTAAAAGTTTATTTTTTCAAAATGCTCTTCTAACCAACTCCCAGCCCTTTTTCTGTTGGTGGTGTGGGTGTGGGAGTTAAGAAAAATCTAACCCATTACCCCTTCCCCACCCACGCCCTCTTTTGGCAAGCTCAGCACGGCGGCATCTCACATTTTGTTTTTCGAGTATAATTTTTGTTATTTTTGAGCTCAGCTACAAAACTTCTATTTAAATTTCCTGTTACATTTGCATATGCTAAAAAGAATGTCTTTAGACTGATAGGCGAGAAACCAAAACCAAGGGTTCCTGTGAGGAAACAGACTCAATGACTCAGGAATCAGGATGGGTGATTTCTTAAAGCTTTAGTCTAGTGTATTTTTTGGAATTTGAGCCAGGTGGCTGTTTTACCCCTTTCAAGACTTAAATTAAAATTTTCTACAATTTTGCTTCTCTCTTAAATCACTATTTGGTGACTCAGGGACTATTGCTATAATATCGTCACCTCCTAAAGAAGCTCATTCCACGTTTTGTTCATTGAAATTCCAGAAGCCTTTGCCTTCTTCATTGCATGGAGATGCTTGCATTTGGGTCCTCCTTTGTTTCATCTTCATACATTTCACAAAACAATTAGTGACTCCTTAGTTTTTTAGCACCTTGTTAGATAATTTGGCATTTCTTGGGTTGGTATTATTTCCTTTGTTTGGGAACCATGGAAAGAAAGCAAGCCAGGAACCTATGAAGGTATTCATGGCCTCATTAAGATTCTTTAGAATTCTTTAAAATCTTCAGAATATATGTTCCCAGGCTATTTTCACATATCAAGAAAGGATTCTAAAAGATTAGCTTTTTTGAGCTGGGGATATAGCTTGGTTGGTAGAGTACTTGCCTTGTATGGACAAGGCCCTGGGTTCAATCCCCAGCACCACCAAAAAAAAAAAAAAAGTTGCTTTCTCATTTACCCAAGGTGTCACTCATATGTTATTCTTCATTTTTTAAGCACTCACGCTGACAGTGCTTCCTGGGAGGATATAATGAAACTGGTATTGTCATTAACACAGCTTCAGGTTGGTCCAATGCATATCCCTACCAGGGCCTTAAAGAAATCTGATTCTCATGTTAGAGTTGGTATTAGTCCAGGAAGGACTGAGACGTATCAGAGTCAAAAATGTTGTTCCCCAAAAATAAAATGTGGTATATACATATAGAACAGGATTTATTCAATCTTTTAAAAAAAAGAAGAAGTATAAGGAGGAGGAGGAGAAAATCCTGCTATTTGCAGTATAGATAAACCTGGAGGACATTATATTAAGTAAAATAAGCCAGAAACAGGACAAATACTACATGATCTCACTTATAAAGAAAGTCTAAAAAAAAAATCAAGTTTATGGCAACAAAAGTAGAATGGCAAAGAGTAGAATGGTGATTACCAGGACAGAGGAAGGGAAGATGTTGGTCTGGGGTATGTTTCACTTATTAGGAGGAGTACCTTCTAGAGATATAATGTGTAGCATGGAAACTATAGTTAATAATACTGTATTGTATACTAGAGTTAAGAATAGATCTTACATGTTTCATCATAAAAAAAAAGAAACTAACTATGAGGTGATGAATATGTCAATTAGTTTGTGGCAATAATTTCACAATGTATATATCAAATCATCACATTATACACCTTAAATAATATATACTGTTTTCATTTTTAAAGTATTGTTCTGGCTGGGAGTATTGCTCAGCAGGAGCACCTGCTTTGTATGCACAAGGCCCTGGGTTTGATGTCCAGCACCAGAAACAAAACAAAAATGTTGTTCCCCAAGTTCAGGTTTCAGGCTTCTGTGAGTCCCCATCACCTGCTGCCTGGCTTCCTAAGGTGTACAGATATCTAAACACCCTTTTAATATGACAGAGATTAGCCTTTCTTATTTGTGCAGCCTTTCTTATTTATTTAAAATGAACATCTTTTTAAAGGTGAATAATGAAATAAACATTTTGCTATCACTTCTTTTACTTTTAGCAAGTCTTTCCCGTTGTTTAACCGGTGCGTGCCTCAAACACCTGAGTGCTACTCCCTGTTTGCATCTGTTTTGATAAATGATGTTGACACCCTCCATCGAATTCTAAGTGGAATAATGTCAGCAAGAGATACAATCCTTGGCCTGTGTATCTTTGCATTAGGTAATTTTAATTTTATTTTAGCAACTATTTGTGGGATGCCAAAATTTCTACAGCTTAAATATGTAGTGCCTTGAAATTAACTTCTTAACTTAAGTAAAAAACTTTATGTTTATTTTCTTTGAAGATATTTTCAACATTTCAGGTTAAATTTGGGAAAGGGACAGTGGGAATGGAAGAAGTCAGCTGGCTATCTGCCAGGAAGCCTCACTGGATTGTATTCACCAGTTTCTGGGAGTTTTTTGTTCTCAGCTCTGCATGAGGGATGGATGCATAAAGCAGAGAGTAAGTTTGTTCTTTGGCTCTGAAAAGTACAACCATCAGGGGATAAGAAAACACATCTTCTGGCCAACATGCCTTCTACCTGTAGGTGAGCCAGATCAGAGGGCTGTCTGGTGAGCCCGGGAGGAGTGTGCATCCACATTAAAAGGGTCAGACTGCAGTGCCCGTGAATCCAGCTCTTCAAAGGAACATACCTGCTTTGGGTTGTAGGCAGAAGAAGTCCTTGGGCCAAGACATGCCTCTCCTGGGCATTTCTGGAAGCAGTGACCCACTCTTGATCCTTGACTTCCCACTCTCTCTCTTTCCACTTGCTGAGCCCCTGGAGCCAACTGTCTCTTTGAACAGGTTAACGCCCTCTGCAACTTTAGACCATAGCAATAACCTATTATCTAGTTCCTTCCCAGTTGGTCATCCATTAACATATTTTGGCCAGTTCCACAAATTGAGTTTTCCTTAATTTCATTACCAAAAGGTTACTAATTCCCCAGGGCTTGGGGAAACTTAAGAAATCACCATATATAGAGTCCAAACTTTTTACTTAGACTGAGAATAACTTCAAATGACCCAAATAGTATTTTCTGACTCCCAGACACTGACGTGGTAACCACAAATACCAAAAAAAAAAAAAAAAAAAAAAATCCAGGCTAGTCCTGATATCATATACCTCAACCTAATGTCCCCACAAGGGCTGTACTTGTTAGATTCATAATGGCATTAACAGCTGTTATTTCCCAAGCAATTCTCAGGTACCAGGCACTGTGCTTATTATCACATTAAGGCTTTAATGTGATAAACCCCATTCTGCTCAGAGTAGAGGAACCTGAGGCTTAGAGAGTTTAAGTGCCTTGGCCAGTAGTAGAATGGGTGGCAGCTAGTAGAATGGGTGACAGAGCTGAGACTCAAACCCAGGTCTGTCTAATTCCAAACTCCATGTTCTCAGCCACCACACTGAAATATCTTTATGTAATCCTGATTTTCTGTTTAGTAAAAAAAAAATAAAATAAAATAGCATTTATAGATTCACTAAAATATCTAGAAAAATTCATAAGCATACAAGCTCAAATATTGGAAAGTGAAATGCAGTGCTTTATACAGCTTACTTTATATACTTAGACTCAAAATTTTCATCTTAAAGGCATGATTCTTTTAGATTTAATAAAGTACCTAAAGACATTTAAAGTCAGAACTTTACACACGCTCAGTATGAAACTTAGTATAGTAAAATTTTTAAACAGTTCAGTTAGACTTGTAAGGAAAAAAATAACTTGAGCTTTTGGGAATAAAATACCTTCTTTTTAATTTTAACTCAGGAAGACTGGCTTTGTTACAGCCTACTAAACCCCACATGCTTCAGAGGGTGCCCTGATTATATCCTGTATTTTCCTTTAGCATTTAGCAGGTGTCCCAAGACATTTGGAGATGGAGTAAAACCCTGGGCCCTCGCTTTTCCTGCTTCTGCTACCATCACCCTCACCCTTTGCTGCTGTTTGGGTTTATGTGTTTTTCTTAATTTTTCAGCCTTGTCCTTGACCATGATGTTCACCTTCCGATTCATCACCACTCTTCTGGTTCACATTTTCATTTCATTGGTTATTCTTGGATTGCTGTGTAAGTATGTCTTCTTGATGGATTTCTTTTTGATTAAATGAAAAGCCTTTCCATTAAGTACAGAACTTAAAAGTTGGTATTTGTGAGATGAATGGAGTCTCAGAGAGTGTCTCATCCAGCCCCATCGTTTTGCACGTAAGAAAAGCCAAACCCAGGGAGATTGACAGGAGTTGCTCATGTCTCACAGATCATGGCAAAGTTAACGCCAAGTCTGTTGTCGCTTCTAGTATATTTTGCGGGCCTGAGATGAGCCTGGTACCCATAATACTAAGAGAGAGTTCCAGTGCCATCACAAGCATTTTGGAGGATCTTTTCTGAACCTGCACCTCACTCATTGGCATGTTAGTGACCACAGTTGTCAGGCAAAGGCTCTGCAACCTGAAGAGCAGGCCTGAGTAGGCATAGGGTTCTGAAGGCCCCTGTGGGCCCATCAGCAGTTGCTGGATTGTGGGTCTTCCTAGGATCATTGGGAAAAGGGTATCAGTGTTTTTTATTTTTAATGAGAGACGGTAGTGTTTCATTCCTCTGAACTATCAGCTCTGCCCTCAGCATCGGAGCACCCCAGAGCCCTGTGCTGGATGGCCGCACTGACTTGTGAGGGGTACTTTCCTCACCTACACTTAGTGGATGGCTGTGACCTCTATAGAGTTCCTGTGGAGGTGGCTTATAGTAGTGTTTTATAGCTAAATGCAAAGTATTTGCAATGTCAAGGTATCCTCAGAGTAAGCCTCTGATATACGTGAGTCCCACAGCCTGTGTAAATTGCCTGGCTTTGGTGGGTCAGAAGCCAGTGTCCAGGCTCCTGCAGCAGAGATCTCCAGCAGAGTTTGCCTGAACATTTTAGTCTTTGGAAACTAACAGAGTTCCCCTCACTATCCTGTTGATGTAGCTACTTTCCTGTTCACACTAGACCAACCTGTGGGCTAGGCATCTGTATTCTGGGGCCACCTCCTGGGTCTCCCAAAACCAAAGGCTCTTATGGGCTGGGGGTACTCTGTGGGCTACCCTGGCTCTGCCCAGCTCCGCCAGAGGGCAGCTGCTGGCTATAAATGCCCCAGGAACTTGGGACCCACCTCCTAAGCAGGGCCACCCAGGGGGCTTACAGTGGGAGGACGTTACCCCAGGGCGTGTGTGCTGAGCCCTGCTGGTGTTGTTTTCTAGTTGTCTGCGGTGTCTTATGGTGGCTGTATTATGACTATACCAACGATCTCAGCATAGAATTGGACACAGAAAGGGAAAATATGAAGTGTGTGCTGGGGTTTGCTATTGTGTCTACAGTCATCACGGTAAGAAACCCCCTCCTACTGTGTGTGGTGGTGCACACCTGTCATCCCGGCGATTTGTGAGGCAGGAGGATCACAAATTCAAAGCCAGCCTCAGCAATTTATTGAGGGCCTAAGCAACTCAGTGAGACCCTGTCTCAAAATAAAAAATAGAAAGGGCTGGGATATGGCTCAGTGGTTAAGCACCATTGGGTTGAATCCCGATACTCACCCCTCACCCTTCCCCCCCCCCCCCCAAAAAAAAAAAAAAAAGAAAAGAAAAAGAAAACCCTTTCAGCAGTGGGTTGAGTCACCAGTCAGAGCTCTGAAACCCAGATCATTGAATTTTAGTCAAAAACAACTAGCGTTTGTTTTTCTTTCACCTCAGAATGTGCCTACATGATGGGGTACCTTCTTTGGATTTGAGATACCTATGTAGGAATAAATCAAAATCTTCAAAAAAAATAAATTCTTCCCAAGTCATTTCTGTTGTCCTCCAGAGGCTGATTCTAGATCCTTGCTGTTAGGCCATTCCTACCCACGGGGCCTCCAACGGTGGACCTTTGGTGAGGAGGGAGCAGTTTATGACAGCTCTCATTTCCTGTTTGTGAGCCAGTGGGTACTGAGCTCTCCCGGGGTGTGCCAGCTCTGCTGCCCTGAGCACACAGGGCCCTTTGTCTCCACACCTGCCAGCCRCTGAGTTATTTGGGTTTGCAGACAACCTGCTGCCTCCTCAGTGAACTCCCTAGTTAAAAACAGGAGAACTGGGAATATTGAGGCAGGGGATAGTGGTGGTTGGAGGAGGGTGACTGGCAACCCAAAATCATTTCAGTCACTCCTCAGGTGGCATAGAGGTGCTAGAATCACCGGGCTCTGGGGGTGGGGGGTGTTGAACCTCTGGTAACCCCAGGTCAAGTGCCAGCTGTTGCTCACTCACCGTTGTGCAGGAGAGAGGCAGCCAGGGCCTTCCACAGCCCATTAAACCTTTCTGCAAATGCAGATTCTCTCACCAGCTCCATTCTCTCTCTTCTGAGGAAATCCTTCAGGTCTCATATTGGATACAGGCTTCACATTTTCTCCTTTCCACAGTGAGTTTTCAGGTTTATGTTCTTTACATAAGATGTGTCAGGGAGCAAGTGGCATCCAATAAAGCAGCTGACTCCTTCCTCAGTCAAGGTCCAGGCTCGCTGCTGAGCAGGACTGTGAAGGAGGCTGTAGAGGAAAAGGCTCTCCAGCAGCCAGGCCTGGGCTTTGGGGCTCAGGGGAGGAGGAGCAGGGCCCAGAGCTGGGGAGAGAGCCAGGTCCTCCCCAGCCCTCCACAGGGCCCCCTTTGTCCTCACACATTGCACTATTCATGGCCACCATATCTCAGGGTCAGGGGTGACTTCTCCTCTTCACCTAGTATGAGGTGAGGGAAAGGTGAGTCTGTGTCACCTGTCCCTGAGTGTCCCAGGTGGCTGTACAGAGGGCAGAATCCAGCCTTGGCTCATGTGCCCTCATTTGGCTTGGGTTTCTCTCCTGTGCTGGCCCGGCTGGCTCTACTCTTACCCTCACAGGAGCCCAGATCCTTTGTCTCCGTCATCAGCTACACGCAACTTCTAACAAACACAGGGCTCAGCATCAAACAGTGGAGCTAGAGAGGCACTGCCACAAGCCAGCACAGCCTGTGACCAGGTGAAGTGCACAGCAGGCAGTGCCCTGGCACAGTGCACAGGAAAAGAGCCCAGCCTCGGTGGTCCCAGGCCTGTGCCCAAATCCAGGGCCCACCACTGAGACCTGGGAGAAATGACTTGGCCTCTGAGGCCCTGGTCTCCTCATGCATCGCATGGGAATGCTGTTGCAGAGGTGTGGACCCTACTCCTTGCTGAGAGGCAGATCCGCCATGGAGGCTGCGCATTCACCAGAGAGCCACCCCCATTATTGCCTGGCAGGTGACCTGTTCAGATACTCAGCTGAGAACTGTCTGGGTAAGAAGAGGATGGTCACACCCAGGGAAGCCACTGCCCGCCCTGCTTGGTCCCTACACCAACCAGCTCCCACAGACACCTGCAGACACCTCCCACAGATACCCTGGAGCTGATCTCCAGGGGTAGGGGGAGAAGTAATTAGAAGCCCCTCTTCCCTTCTCTGACTCTTCTTATCTCAGCTCTTCGCATTAAAGGAGAGAAAGGAGTAAACTGACATTATCAGGAAAGGAACAGTTGGAGAAGGGGGGTCACTTCCCTCAAACCTTATCCCTTCTTGCTTACTTCAGAGCTCCTCCCCCTTTTGTGGTGGCCTTCGTTCCAGAAAAAAAGAGCCCAGCCTCTGTAGTCCCAGGCCTGTGCCCAAATCCAGGGCCCACCGCTGAGACCTGGGAGAAATGACTTGGCCTCTGGGGCCCTGGTCTCCTCATGCATCAAATGGGAATGCTGTTGAGAGGTATGGTCCCCGGGGACCATTGAGGACCTCCTAGGCAAGGATGTGTTCCTGTCTCCTGGAGTTCTTAGCAGGAGCCTTACAAATAAACTTGATCACATGTTCTGGGAAGATGGGGGCCAACTGTGAATATCACTTAAGGAGTTTCAATATAATCATTTGCAACAATGAGGAAAATGGGGTGAGTGGCATTATATGTTCACTTCAGCCAATACTCTAGGATGATTAGCAGAATGCAGCTCCCTGCCACTTAGAAGTGAAGCCCTGTGTGGTGAGCTCTGCCCACCCACTCTGTCCATACCCGCAGCACTGGGTGGTGACACTGATCTCCATCCAGATTGGGGAAAGGAACAAATTAGAGTCAATCCTTTCCTTGTGATGGACATGCTCACAGTGTACTCTAAGTGTGAGCAGGGCATCACCTGGATATTTCTAATATAAGTTGTAACACACACACACACACACACACACACACACATTTAAATACTCACCTAGATTAAGGTTCCTCTTAGGAGCCAGAGCCAAATTTATTTGCCTAAAGATTATATCGCTTTGCTTCCTGACCAGTTAAATTGAAACAGTCCCTTCCTTGTTGATTGTGTTAGGCATTGATAGCCCTTTGCAGTTTAAAGTTCTCTTCTRGGCTCGGCTTCTCAAGAACCCCCCACAGTAGGGGTGTGCTCGCAGATCCTGGAATAGCTTCTGCACAATTTATCCTACTTTCCTCTGACGTCTTTCCTCCACTGTGTGTGAGATCTTTGAGGGCAGAAATACTCCAGTCCAGTTGGAAGAGAAAGGGCAGCTCAGGCAAGGAAACAGAGTACACAGGGTCACGTGGAGAGGTGCCCTCCATGAAAGTCTGATGCAGGTACAGGGAGGGCTCATTTCTGGAAGGTCCGGATCTGTGATAATAATGAGTCTGATCTTTATCCAGATGTTCTGGGGAACCATTGATGGATTTTTAGCAAGGAGATGACACCCTAGGCTTCACCCTTTAGAAAGGTCCCTTAGCTGTGAGCTAAGAGGAGAAGGGATTGAGGTGGGGGCATATCAGGAAAATTAAATGCAGACAACTAATGAGGAGACCATTGGGGGCCAGATAAGAGATGATGAGACTGGACCTGGGACATCATCCATGGTGTTGGAGAGGAGAGGATGACTCAAGAGATATTTAAGAAATTGAATCAGAGGTGACAGGGATTATGCTGTGTGCTAGCCTCAAGGGAATCAATCTAAGGGGAGATTCAGATATAAACATATGCAGTGGAAAATGCCAAATACTATGGTTTAGGTAACCATAGGACAGAATGGGAGCATGTAAGAAAGGAATCTTGGAGTCCAGAAAAATGAGGACCACTAGAGGTAGGGAATACGGGGAAGAAGAGATTTGGGCATAAAGATAATGAATTTGGCTCAGGACAGGGTGAATTTGAGACATTTAAGATGTGTATGGCCTTTTTAATATCTAATATGCTTCTTCATCCAGTGCTTAGAGAAAGGTGAGGCTGGGGTTTTTATTTGAAGGTCATCAGCATCTGGGAAGGATGCTAAAACCACAAAGGAGCAGAAGATTCCTTCCCCCTAAAGATCCTAAGAAACAATAACTGAAATAGTAGAAGAGCCAGAGAGATTGTGGAAGGGACCAGAAAAGGGAGTGAACAGTAGATTCAAAAGCTATGCTGTGGCCAAGAAAGACTTGGAGGGACTGGGATGTGGCTCAGTGGTAGCGCAGTTGCCTGGCATGCACAAGGTTCTGGGTTCATTCCCAAACACAGCAAGGCAAAAAAAGTAAAAAAAAAAAAAAAAAAAAGACTTGGAATGTAGAATATTCTATGGGATCTAGCAGACTTCACATGAAGTGACCTTAGGGGGAGAAGTTTCAGGAGAGTGTGGGGGGTCTAGGGGTTTGCAGGTGGTTGGAGATGAGTGTAGATGCCAATGTAGACAAGCTAAGAAACTCAGCTATAGGGAGATGGCTGGACCAATGTGGGGTGAACGAGGATTACATCTTTACATGAAAGACTCAGAGGTACTTATATACAGGGCAGAAAAAAAGCAATAGAGGAGAAGGCACAGAGGTTGCCTTGGCACATACTCACTGTCCTTTTCCTTCACACTCAAGTTCCCTTGTCCTTTGCTGTCCTTCTTTGAGCACCTTGGGTTCTGGGTGGAGGGAGAGAAGATGGTTCCTGACTCTAGAGGACTTAATTCTCATTTGCCTTTACTTTATGACCCTACTGAAAGCTCCTTTGGGAAGGGACTAAGCAGTGTGCACTGTTCTAGCTACAGGATCTAGCACAGGGACCAGTACATAGTAGGTGTTCAATTCATGCCTGGGAATTGACCTGTTCAGTTATAACAAAAGTCATGTATGACTATCTTAAAAGAGCTATTTGCTGAAATGTCAGTAAAATAATAGGGCTTGCTTTAAGCTGTACCCAGTTCCCCCATTATTTTGAAATAATTTACTCTGAACCCTTTCTCACCAGGCAATTCTGCTCGTCTTGATTTTTGTCCTCAGAAAGAGAATAAAATTGACAGTGGAGCTTTTCCAAGTCACAAATAAAGTCATCAGAAGCTCTCCTTTCCTGCTGTTCCAGCCACTATGGACATTTGCCATCCTCATTTTCTTCTGGATCCTTTGGGTGGCTGTGCTGCTGAGCCTGGGAACTGCCGGTAAGGGACAGTGGGTGCAGGTTCCTTCCCTGGGAGTCACACACAGGAGACCTCACCATTGTGAGAACACTGGCCTGCTTCTGTGGGCACCAAGCTTCTCATGCAACCAGCGGCATCTGATGACAGCAGTGATGGTGCCAGGGCTCTGTCACGGGCGTGGGGGGGACACGGAAGTTCCCTTCCCTCTTTTGTATTGACTTTGAAGAAGCTGGGCTTGTGTTTCATGAGAGAATAAATTCAGTCACGACTGAAAGCGTTAGGAAAAATTACAGTCTGAACGAAGGCTTGTAGAAAGAATATTATCAAATGTCTCCAAGTTTGAATTTTATCCAAGATAATTTGTCAACCCCTATCCAATCAGTAGGTGATAAAGAACCCAGGAAGACTGTCAAAAGTTTGTTGTGCCCAGCCGGGCCAGCTGAAGTTTAACATGGGTGCATGCAGAAGTTCACCCTTTGTGAGTTCTAAAAGACAATTGTGCATCCTCCCGTGGTACCCAAACACTGGTCTCCTCCAGGAGCACTCCTCAGAGTGGACTGTGGAGCTTTGTTATAATACGAATACATGAACCCCATTCTCAGAGATTCTAGTTTTATTGCACTTGGGGTAAGATTGTGTGTGTGGGTGTGTGTGTGTTTTAAATGTTCCATAACAGGGCCACCATATTCTAAAGCAGTGGTAGTCAAAGTGCTCTGAAACCAGACACAGAGCTTGTGCCTGGAATGTACACCATTCCATTGCTATGAAAGAAAACAAGACTTGCTATGAAAGAAAAAACAATCAGCTGAAGGAATCATTGTGCTCTTGATGCCATTGATCTTCATTCTGGCACAAGCCTGTCATCTCATTGCAGACTCATGACAAACAGTGTGAGGGCAGGCAGCTAATCTATGAGCCTCACTTTGAATGATCCTACTCTAACTCCTCTACTTGATTTGGTGACAATCCAGAATCACGCCCTGATGTGAATACAAAATAGAAAGTTGTTTTATAAGACTATCACCAGGAAGATAAGAACCACAGCACATGTCAAGTTAACAAGACTGATGCAATTCCTTAATGTTTTAGCAAATTTATTCTGCTCTTCATTCACTCCAGTGAAAGGAGCCAATATGTGTGATCTTGCATGTTGGAGCAACTGCTGTAGTTGTTTCTTAGTGAACCTGGTACCCTTCCCTCTCCTTTGGAGTGAACTGACCCTCAGACTCAAGGTGGTCAGCAGCCCTGGGAAGCCCCTATTTCTGGCTTTAGAGATGCTGTAGGGATGGTGTCTTCTGCTGCAGGTCTCTGGAAGCTTCCTGAAGGCCTGCAGTGAACTTCTGATATCCAGGGAGGAACCTTGGTCAAACAGACTAATTAATCAGGATTAGGATTATCTGGAAGGTATAGAAAAACTCAAAGCAAACATTGGTTCAAACAAAGTGTCAAGTAATTTCCCTCCCACATAGATGATGTCCACAAGGAGGATTCCTTGCAAGCATAGTCTTCCAGATTTCAAGGACTCAGGTGCCTTCTTGTTCTGTACCCCTACTATTTGCTTCTACTTCATAGTTGAAGTGGCCACTTGGGCTCCAGCCACCATGTCTTATTCCAGCCTGTAGGAAGGTGGCAGGGAGGAGGATGAGCATGCACCCTCCTGGAAGTCAGAGGCTGCACTTCTCCCTCCACCCCACTAGCCAAATCCTAGGTCCATGATAACACTCATCCATCTGGAAAGGAGACCAGGAAATGTAGTTTCATTTTGGTCAGTCTTGCACAGTTTAAAACTTAGAGGTTCTATTTCCAAGAAAAAGTGAATCAGTGCTAGGGATATAGCTCAGTGGTAGAGTGCTTGCCTAGTATGCATGAAGTCCTGGGTTCAAAAATCCTCAGTACCACCAAAAAAAAAAAAAAAAAAAAAAAAGGAAGCAGTTATTATGGGACAGTTGGAAGTCTCCCCTAGCACAGAACGGAACAGCCTTTCTCTAGCTCACTGGCTTGAAGTGCTCGCAGTTCTGGTCAGAAGGGAGCACAGGGGTCTTGGTACATGCTGTTGAAAATGTTCTGGATTCTAAGCTCTGTACTAGGTTCTTCTTTGTGTGCTCCCCTTTGAGCATCTTAATTCTCTTGCAACTTAATGTGCTATTCTCAAATTAGAGGCAAGAAAAACTGAGTTCTGAGCAAGTCATTTGCTGAAGGCCACACAGCTAGGAGCCCAGTCTGAGAGTTAGGGGACTGAAGTCAGAGGGGAACAGCCCCAAGGCTTGACTTGGGGTGAGCTACCAGCACTGTGCCTCTTAACTTCCTCCTGTTTGGACCCTAGTTGGGCCCAGGGCCTACAGGGCATTAGACAGCCTCAATCTCAGGATTGAAAGCAGGAGGGCCAGGAAACAGGAGGTTATTCCTCCAGGTCGAAGGTAGCAGGCATCTTAGAGGGTCATGTATTGAAGCGTGGCAGTTCTCTATCAGTGGGAGAAGCAAAAGGAGCAAGAATGAGAGGAGTAGAAGGCAGGAAAGAAAACAGGTGCCCAGGACCTACTGTAGAAGTCTACAAGCAAGACTATCTTAGGCTTTACAGGAGAGAAATTTCCTCACAGGACACGCCCAGCTCTCTCTGGGAACTTGTTATGGTTTGGATGTGAGGTGCCCACAAAAGCTCATGTGTGAGACAATGTGAGAGGGTTCAGAGGGAAAATGTTTGGGTTGGAAGAGCCTTAAGCCTATCAATGAATATATCACCTGATGGGATTAATTGGGTGGGGATTGAAAGCAGGTATGGTGTGACTCGAGGAGGAGGGGCATTGGGGGTGTGGCTTTGGGGTATGTATTTGTATCTAGCAAGTGGAGTCTTTCTGCTTCCTGATCATCACGTGAGCTGTCTCCCTCTGCCACATTCTCCCGCCATGTTGTTCAGCCTTCCTGGAGACCTGAGGAATGGAGCCAGCTGTCAATGGCTTTGTACCTCTGAAACTGTAAGCCCTCAAATAAACTTCTCCTCCTCTAAAGTTGTTCCATTTGGGTCTTTTAGTCACAGCAGCAAAAAAAAAAAAAAAAAAAAAAAAGCTGACTAAAACAGGCCTGCATCATGGAAACCAGATTTTTGGCCCACTCCCTCACGACCCCTGACTGCCCTTTCCACACACCTGTGGGCTGGCCAAGCACACAGAATCCCCTTTGTTCTCAAATGCCTTTTCAGTGCCAGAGTGACCCTGCTCTGGGCTGGGCAGGTCAGCAGCTGCGTCACTTTTTGATCTTCAGAAGGTGCCCCAGCTGTACTTGGGGGAGGCTGTGAGCAGCTTTCACTTCTTATGAAACCATACCCACCAGGTGATGAGGGCTGAGTGCCCTTTTCACAGAGCCGGAGGGTCTCACCTCTTGGGCAGCTACAATGAGGACAGGCTCACTCTTCAGTCTAGGGTCTGGTTGTGTATGTGGGGCTCCTCACTAGGTAAATAGTTGTGAGTGTTTTTTTTTTTTTATGGGGGGTGGGGATAGGAGTGAAGTTAGGTGACATTTGTTAGGTCACATTTGTCCAGATGAGCTATTTCTCTAGTGACTGTTTATCAGTCTATTAAGAAGTTGACAAATTGTGGATTGGGTGCAGGTTATTTCAGCAGAGCATGTCAATCTCAGCCCCCACCCTGCCCAGAAATGACATTTATTAGTCCACTGGGATTTGTCTATGACAAGCAATGTGACAGATATTTTTTAAATTCAGTGGGGGTGCGGGAGAGAGCAAAAGCTATAGGAACCATTGGGAATCCAGCAGGTGCTATTGGTGAGTGGGAAAGAACCCAGATATTCTGAGCACCCTCTATGGTCACTAAAGTGGTCTGGAAGCCTCAATCTATAAAATGGAGAAGTCCAGAGGTGCCTCCCTCCAGGTCCTTGCTGCAGTTAGAAGAAGTAGCTGCAGGATGTACACAGCAGGCTTGGAACAGGCAACGGGCTGGAATCTGCTCCCCACTTTTACCCCAGCTTCCCACCCTGGCTGCTTCAGAAATCAGCCATTCTCCAAGATTCATTTTCATTATTAGACTTCTTAGAAAAGCTACAAATTTCTCAGGTGTACCTAGATATTTTTTCTTCATTTCTTAAATATTCTTCATTCACTCAACAACTATTCATTGCATGCCTATTATGTGCTCAGCACCAGAGTTGTATTGTGTGTCACCTACTGTGCGCTCTAGGTACTCAAAATACAACACCGAGCAAAACAAAGGCCCTGTTTTCCAGGCACTTAGTTTCTGGTGGGTGGTGACAGTGGCATACATAAGTTGGCTTCCCATGGTGATAAAGTGCCCTGAAGAACAATAAAGCAAGATGTGCTGTTACCCACAARAGCAAGCAGGCCCAAGGGCAGAGACCATATCTTTCTCTTGTTCCCCCTGTTAGAGATGCTGGAGATATGGCTTTCCTTCTAGTTTGAGGGAGATAGGTATAAATAAAATAATTGAGTGAACTGTATAGAACTTTAAAAATCTACAAAAGTCTATAAAGTCTCTTGGCTTAGTGTGTCATGCTGGTGTGGGTCAACTAACTTGGAATTCAATTCACCTGTCATTGAGTATTGATTAGGTGTACAGGGAAGAACTTGATATTTTGTAGACTCTGTCAATGAGATACCTATCTCTCTCTCTCTCTCTCTCTCTCTCTCTCTCTCTCTCTCTCATCCTCAAGCTGCCAGAACAGAGGCAGAAGCCAGTGGAGACATAGACAGGGGGGAGGTTAGCAAGATGGAGGATCAGTAGCATCCTTGGAAGGGGTCCAGGGAAGTATACACAATGTGCTAAAAAATAGAGTCCTTTCAAGTTGGGCCTGCTCTTTTTGGATATTATGCCAGCTGGACTGCTTTCCTTAAGAATCTGCTATTTGCAATAATCACTAAATCACCTTAGTCTCTTAAAATGCTAAAGACTGCCAGTAATGTCCAGATTTACAGCCAGGTGCATGGTGACTATCCTCCAGATTATTCTTTTTTTTTTAATTTTTAATATTTATTTTTTAGTTCTCGGCGGACA